CCACTCTAGTCGAGTCAAAATTCAGACGTAGGGTCTCATAGGAGACTACCAGCTTCACCGTCTCTGATGAGCTTTAGAGGCTCTGATAGAGTTTTGAGGTATCTAGAGTGCGAGCATTATGGACAAAATCACTGAAAAAGGTGCTTTAAAATTATTAGGAAATGATATAGATGTGGATCTGTAGCGTATATGGTAAGAGATTGCCCTAGTTTGGATGATGATGTTTTAGCTCTACTCGGGAGAGCGATCCTAATAGCTCAGCATGGCGAAAAGACTACCTAAAGAGGTGTTTGTTATATGTTCGGGCAGGAGAGTAGAGGAGCGGATTGACCATTTTTCAGATCGTAGAGAGGCAGAGTAAGGATGTTGATGTCGCATATGAGATGCCAAGTATGTTCTCAGTTATCTCAGTTTTTCATGTTGTTCTAGAAGGTGTAAGTGCGTGCATTCTTTTCTGGTGTTAAGTGAACTAAGTAGGAAAATATGTATGTCGAAGACCCTATCGTCAAGATATAAGTGCCTAGTTGGTGGGCTTTAATGGGATAGGAAAAGTCACCTTAGAAATTTTTTGAGGGTTTGGGTCAGACTCGGTTGTCGACCTTAAGGAAGTTGTTAGAACAAGTGTTTCTTTACCTCAAAATTGTGGGTATAAAGATATGATAATATATGGTTGTTCCTTGTTAAGTCGAAGATGAACTCTAAGAAAACGTTGAGCTAAAATATCTTCCACCCTTGTGTGTTCCCTAATGGAATATCTGTGTGGGTTATCAATTTGGATATGAGACTTTAAGGATGTTTTTACATTGCCAGTAAATGGTTCATGTGACTGACCCATAGAGATTTAGTAATCTCAAGTTTAACATTCGAGATAAGGTTCTCATTGAGAGTGTTAAGAATACCCAGGTTACTCTTACCAGTATAGTGATCACCTTTTTGTCAGAAATATCAAGTTATATCTCAACTAGTGCCAAAGCACTTTAGTTACTAATTGGGCGCATATACCCCAAGTACTCGCGTGGAGTAAGTTACTTGGGAGTACATTCCGATGCAGTAGTTTTGAAATTTCACCCTATAAACTGAGGAAACTATAGGTATGTTAGTGAGTTGTAAATATCGAGGTCAATGAACCTTCCGACATCATCAGGATGCCTTCTTGCATAAGCAATAAGTGAATCAGCTAAGTGAAAAGCCTTGTTAGTGAGTTCTTCGTGTTGTTATATGAGCGCGAGCTATTTATAATACATATCAATATGCAATGTTGTGTAGTATCATAGATTTTAGTGCCAGAGATTAGAGGAAAGTAAATACATTAACTTTGTGGTGGTAAGTGATAGTGAGTACAAGACGTAGAGTCTCAGGACCCTTAATTCAAAATAAGGTTGAGAGATACCTCCATTTTGTGAGTTATGCTCTCCAAGAGAGCCAGAAGTTGCTAGTTTATCTAGGCAAATAACCGATTTTAAGTTGTGAGTTCCTTAGATGCATGATCTGATGAATAGAGCACTTGCAAACCGCAAGGTAAAGGGAAAACAATTAGGTATTGTGGACGAGTATTGAATTAGAGTTGCGTAGAAGAAGTGTAGAGATCGATGTTAGATAGTCAAGACTTGTCATCATATCTTCAATAGTCGACATCGAGATAATGTATGGCAAGTGTTTATAGGATCTTGACATGTAGTTTGTTGAGCTACTCCAGCCCAGTAAGTAAAGAGATTTTAAGATTGTATAGTTTGTCAACTCGACTTAGTAGAGTTAACCGGTGATAGGGGTTAACGACGATAGTTTGGATCAACGATAGCTTTATCCTTGTGAAATATTTTGAGCTTTTAGTGTTAGACAACAAGAATGAGATTCTCTAACCTTGGGCCTTTCGATTCTTAATAGGAATTCTTCCTTGAGAATCAAACTTGATTAGAGGTTAGGTGCTTTGAGGTTTCTAAGTATCTAACTTAAGGATAAATTGTTATTCAATCCAAGTGAATTTTGAAGATAAAATTTCTTTTAAGGAGGGGAGAGTTATAATATCCAAAATTTAAGGCTAATAGTTTTGGGTTTACCTAGAGGCTTGTATACCCCGTAGATTTCATAATTTAAGTAGGTGGGCTTAATTGGGTTAGAATTGGGCCTAAATAGTCATAAAAAGGATATTTTTGAATAGTTGAAGGATGAGGAAAGAACAAAAGAGTAATTATTCTGTTTTGAAAGATGATAACCCTTTTATCTCTTTTCATTTTCTCATTCTTTTCATTTTTCTTCCTTTATCTTCTTCTATTCTTCTCCTAGTCTCCATAACTTCAAGTGGGTGGTAAGAACTCCTTTCTCAACTTCAATAAGTTTCAAATTCATCCCTATTACTCCATATAACATTCTTTTGTTAAGGAAATCCTTGTATCTTTGTTGGCTAGAGAAAAGTTGTAGGAAATCAACTAAATCATAAATGAAAGGTGTGTGGCTAAGCAAGAAACTTCATTTCAGGTTCTAACATCAAGGTAGTGTATTTCTAATCATTTAGAGTGTTAAGGCGTTCATAAATATAAAAAATTGCTAAGATTTGTGTTGTTAAGCATTTTAAGGTTTAAACTTGATTTCATGGTTAAATGACATTTTAGATGTAAAGAATGTGTTTTTATGACACCTTAAGACCCTGAGTAACTTTCTAAAACTTTATAACATGATTAAGAAACAAACTAAGACATTAGGGATGATTTTTTAGTGTTTCTCGAGCTTAAATAAGACATTTCTGGGTTTGAATATTGATACTATATGAACAATATTGATACTGGTTGATTTGGGAAGAAAATCAGGGATTTCCAACTAGGAGTACCAATACTGCTGGAGAGAGTATAGATACTGCTCATACATTATCAATACTCGGGGTATAAAATATCAATATTGAACCTCATTTTCAGCAACATAAGCCATTTTTCGTACTAATACTCATAGAGGTATTGATCTTTGACCCTAGGTATCGATACTACAAGTAAGGTATCAATATTACTCACTTTGGATGGTTATATTTGACCTATTTAAGGCCTATAAAAGCTAAGGATGATCTGTAATGGTAGAAATTAGTCTGTGGGAGACATAAATGGCCAAAGAGGACTAAAAACACTCGTAGGAGTGGGTTACAACTAAAGTAACCATAGTGAGCGTAATGCGTCCAATTATCTTCAGTTAAACACGTAACGAATACCTAAGAATGAAAGACCTTTATAGAGGATATACCAACAAGTGGTATGTAGAAATAATAGGATTAAGAAATAGAGAAGTTGTGTACTACAATAATGCCAGTGAATAGTGAACATACAATTGTCCCTCTAATTCGTGGGTGAATTGAGGGAAAGCATAGCGAGAGCGATTAGAGTGTCGTTACCCAATATTGAACCCGAGTCAGGTATCGGGCTAGCTAGTGTTCCAAACAATAAACAACAAGCACAATAATCATCGTAAAATCACGAAACGCGTAAATACTTCTTTAGAGACATAAATGTCTAAAACACTCTTAAGTAATTAATGACCAGAATAGAGAAACTTAGTAAATTAACAACAGTAATAGACAAATAAACCCTCGCATAATATTCTAGGTACGATGCCCAAACACTCGCGAGAATTTTGTTATCGATGTCAGTGTCGTGTTGCCTTTAGGCCCTTAAATATGCATGTATAGTTGCATCAGTCTAGTACAAGAGATATCCTTAAAGATTGGCTTGACAGTTATGTGAGACCAAGCTAATGCTTAAGTTTAGCAGGAATTGTACTTATTCTATGTGAAATCGGGTTCCCCCTCCATGATCTACCTAATGCCTATGTGAGGACTAGGAGATCATTCAGCAGTTTAGTGGAAATTTCATCGATGCTATTTGACACCAGGTTCCTTCAGTTAACTAGTGTCTGATGGCTATGTGAGACAAGATACTAGCAGTGTTTCATTCAGATAATACACGTGAGTTTTAGTGTCATATTTAGAAAATGCGTAGCAGTTACAATTATTAAGGTTAGAGACCCTTTAGAGGTGTACTCATAGCGAGGCTCTTAGTAAAAGATTAAGGAAAGCGTGACACCCCTACTTCAATGATAGAACAATTGAACCCTAAATAGGTAACACTTTATTTAGATCATGCATATACCTACTGCTTAGTATCATGTCTTTAGCATGCTTGTGTTTATGAAACTCATAATGATGCTCTAGATTAGCGATTATACTACTAGGTTTTGTAAGCTCAGCATTTGGATATTTTCTATTCGTAGGTTCGTGGAGCACTGTCACAGTAGGGACTTCCAGTATCTCCTTCAGAGTATTGTACTGTAGCTTTAGTGGGCATATGTATTCATAGGACCTTACTTATATATGTGGTTTATCAACTTTGAGTTTGTATTATTTTGATTTTAGATTATGTGTCACGGAGCTCTGGTTTATAAAATGTTTTATAATTGTTATTTATGTCTTTTATGATACCATTCAGTATATTTGAAATGAAAATAAACATGTTTTGAAAATCAGGGGTCGTCTCGGCAGCCCAATATGACAGTTTAGGCCCATTCGGGTTTAGGATGTTACAAATGGATACAAGTCTAATAAAGAATGTAGAATTTTATGTTATGGATTTCTAAAATTTCAAAAACAAATGAATTTATACAATTTTAGTGGGTGAAAACATATTTTTCAACTATTTTAAAAATAATAATAATTAGAATATTAAATATAATCATTAAAATAATTAAATGATTATGTATGTAATTTATTTTTCAACATTGTTAACATTTGAAGTAAACGCGATAATTATTTAAATATCAGGAGATAAAATGTATTGAAAAATAATTTAGGAGTAGCTTGATAAATATGTATAGTTTAGGGGTAATAATGCATTTAAACCAATTACCAAACAGAAAACATAAATTAAGAAGTACCGCTGAAGTTTTTTTTTGTACGGAGAACCGCTGAAGCTAGAAACCGTAGCAGATCATTTCATAAAATTACCAGTTTACCACTTTCCTCAATCAAACACAATCAGTTAAAATCCAGAAATTCGCCAAAAAGAAACTCACTCCACAGTGTTTCTCCCTCTTTTTGAATCCCAGAATTAGATGTAATCCTTCGAATTCTCACCATTTGAATCCAAATCAACGTATGAGCAGATAATTGTTATCGGTATTAGTTTATTATTCACTGTAGGCATTTTTTTGAGGAGGCTAAAGATTGCCGTGAAGTTTGCTCTTAATAAAAATGGCGTGTATAAAAGGGGTGAATAGATCGGCACAAGTGGCACTAGCGCCGGACGCTCCTTACATGGCGGCCGGGACGATGGCTGGGGCAGTGGATCTTTCCTTTAGCTCATCGGCGAATCTCGAGATCTTCAAGCTTGATTTCCAGAGTGACGATCGCGACCTTCCTTTGGTAGGCGAGTGCCCCACTTCAGAACGATTTAACCGCATCGCTTGGGGCAAGAACGGATCTGGCTCCGATGAATTTTCGCTCGGGCTAATTGCTGGTGGCCTCGTTGATGGCAATATCAATCTTTGGAACCCCTTAAGCCTGATCCGGTATTTTTTTTCTTTCTATAATCTATCCACATAATGTACATAACTGTTGATTTAATCTAGTTCACTCTAATTTTCGATTAAATTGGGCATTTAGTTAAAGAATGGGGCTTTAGATGAAGTTAATTTGGCTCTGTTGCATGTTTTAATTGTGTGGTGTTTGTTTGGATGGGAAAATTGTGACTGCTTCCCATCTACTTGGGATTGTACTGCTCTTATATAATGCTCATTTAAGCATTTCTATACAGATTTCTTTCAACTTTTCACGTCTTGTGTTAATTTGATGCTTTTTATGATTTAAACAAGTGGTTATTCAAACTTTTCGGCTTGTTTTCTCCGAAAACTAGCTTTTGTATGATCTCGTATTGTAATAATGTTCCCATGATTTGTGAGTTCTAGATTACTTATTATAACTAAGTCTGAATTCCTTCTGTAAATTGTTAATGAATTTGCTTTGTTGTGCATCTGGAATAAGTTGGATTGCCTTTTGCAAGTTGCACGCATGATTTGTATAGCAGCTGATGAACACTGAGTGTTTTCTGTTAGTTTATGGTTAGATCATTTCTAAAATAATTTGGTTAATTAGCAAAATATCTTCTTTTGGTTAATTTTTATCATGCTGTATTTTATTGGAGACTAAGAATCAAAAGAAAAAGAACTTCTTTTTCGGAAATATTAATGGTGAACACTATTCTTAGCTGGGACCTTTCTTAGAGAAGATCTAATTCTTTTATCTAGTCATTTATAGTCATGTATTTTTCTAGATAATGGGAATAGGTTACTTTCACATTTTTTTTCCAATTATTAGTATTTATTGCTTTGTATTTCCTTTAGTATTTATTGGTCTTTTCGGACCAATTTGAAACAAGAAGATTATAATTTGGTTTAAACACGGCAATTTCCTCAGCTCTATGTCAAGTGAACATGCTCTTGTTGGACATCTTTCAAGACACAAAGGACCTGTGAGTTTCCTTCTTTTTTTTCTGGAGAATAAAACTTTTACTATTTTGACATATATGATATTTTTCATCTAGCATTTGAAGGTTTCATGGTAAATTTCTTCATTTATCATCCTCATATTTTAGGTTCGTGGTCTTGAGTTCAATGCCATTACTTCAAACTTGCTAGCATCTGGGGCCAATGATGGTGAAATCTGTATCTGGGATTTGTCAGCACCTGCACAACCGTCTCATTTTCCTCCTCTTAAGGTCTGGGACAATCATTTGGAACTTGTTGAATTGTTAAACTCTCTCATCTATCTCTTCAGTGCCCGCCATGACAAAGTACTGCATGACTATTGTCTGTTGATTCTGAGCTGTGTATTGAATTAGGATTAGCAAATTTCATAGTTCATACCATTACTGTTCAAGTAAATTGCCTTTTTCATTCTGCGTAATTGCCATGTCTTCACTGTACCTGTTCCTATTTCTGTTCATGTTCAATGTATGCAATTGGTTAGGTTAGAAATCCCCCCTCCCCCGCGATGTGAAAACAAAAGGATATATATGGTCTAAGGAAGTATCTGACATAGTTTTTTATGGTCATCATGCAGGGTAGTGGTTCTGCTAATCAAGGTGAAATCTCATTTCTGTCTTGGAATAGTAAGGTTCAACATATACTGGCCTCAACTTCTTATAATGGAACAACTGGTGAGGAAATTTATGGACTCTTGATTTATTGTTTGTCATTTAAGTTTAGCTGGGCAGATAATGCATATAATTATAATTTTCCAGTTGTTTGGGACTTGAAGAAGCAAAAACCAGTGATAAGGTAAAGTTCATGTTATCTACCTACTGAAAGTTTTCTTGTTTCCGCATTTTATTTCCATCCTGACCCACCAGATCTTTGACCTTATCCTTTTTTTAATCGACAGTTTTGCAGATTCAGTTAGAAGGCGATGTTCTGTTTTGCAGTGGCATCCTGATATTGCCACTCAACTTGTTGTTGCTTCAGACGAAGATGATTCACCCACTTTAAGGGTAATAATCTTTTTGATGTTGCTTCGAATGTGGATTTCTATTTGCTTGGAATTTGTTAATTTCTGTTATCTTTTGCTAGCAGCTTTGGGATATGCGGAATATAATGTCACCAGTGAAGGAATTTGTAGGGCACACAAAAGGTACCATATTCTTTAGAAGTTGAAGAAACATTGTTAGAACTTGTAGATTTTTGCCTTCTTTACATTGGTGTGTTTGTTTCTGTACTTGATTGGAGAATAATATGCTCTTTCAGCTTAACCTGATACTACACCATATAATATTAGAATATAAGATGTAAATAATTAGCTTCCTTAAATAAGAGTAAAAATAGATCTTTGAGATTGATTTGGTACCCCTTAGTCAAAATGGTAATGGTGAGCCCAGATAATGTTGGGACATTTGAGCGTTAATGGTATAGGTCATTTGCTGTTAATTTTTCTGACAGCTATTTATCTCCCCATTCATTTAGAAGTTTGATGCATTATTTTCTAGGGCTTTTATTGTTGCAAGTTAAATGATAGTTGTATTATTTTAGGTTCATGATAATATTTGATTGCATGTGTTGTTACAGGTGTAATTGCAATGGCATGGTGTACCTCTGACAGCTCTTATTTGGTCACATGTGCCAAAGATAATCGAACTATTTGTTGGGACATGATTACTGGAGAGGTTGGGGAATGACTTAATTACTAATATACTTCCTCACTTCTTCTGGATCTGTATGTTCCTTAACCTTTGATCAAAAGGTTACATTCTGAATTGTGATATTTTATTTTTATTTTGGGGCATAGATTGTCTGTGAATTGCCTGCTGGTACCAACTGGAACTTTGATGTGCACTGGTACCCAAAGATACCTGGAGTGATATCAACATCTTCTTTTGATGGGAAAATTGGCATGTATAACATTGAGGTGTGACCTTGTCCAAGTTATCTTTCCAATCAATTATGTTTTTGTTAAAAAAAAATTCTAAGCAGTTGGGTGTGTTTAGGTTAGTACATGTGTTTAACTTCTCACTTTTATTCTGCAGGGTTGCAACCGATACGGTGTTGGGGAGGTTGATTTTGGTGCAGGTAATTTTTCTAACAGAACCATTCAACTGCTGGAGTTGATTTGGCATCCTTCTATTTGGTTCTACATAACTACCCAGTTTTCAATTTTTGTCATGATTTGACAATGCTATTAGCTTTTGGCAGTATAGGAGAAAGAAATAGGATTGATGACTGCCGATAAAGGCAGACGTGGGCTGCCTCTGCTAGGGATTCGAATAGCGGTGCTGTAGTTGCATAGTGGCCGCTATTTAGTGGTATGGCAACAGTCCGACACCGTAAATCCCGAAATAGCGGTGTGAATTAAAATCACATCAATGGAGGTGGTTAATGGCCACAAAATAGCCAGGTAATGGAGGATAGCGGTAATAACGGAGTGTTATTATTGTTATTACCCATTTTTTTTAATAAAAAACTTACCATCTTGAGAAGCAAAGCACAAAACATAGGGAAGTAAATCAACCGAACAAAAAATGAGTTGAGGAGATAGTGAAAAGGTTAAATTAGTTCTCGATTCTTTCTACATAAATGACAGAAAGCTATTGATAAAAAAGAATAACGGGCAGCAAGCTTCGTGCTTGTTAGTTGTGAGATTCAAATGATTTAGGGAAAGAAAATTGGGACAAAATCTTGGCAAAATTATTGCAGGAGGAACCGAGTGATGCCTTGAATAATAACAGTAGGAGGCAATTTAGGCAAAATTTTAAGGAAATTGAAACAAATATTTGAGGAAACATGTTTGGGATTTTTTAACAAAAAGGAAGCTATCTACAACTATAATTTGGTATTTGGAATGTTGCGAGCATAGCTGGCCATTTGGGTCATGGGTTGGGTGGGTTGGCTAGTGGCTAAAGGGTTGTAGAATGTGTATGGTCATGGGTGGGATTTTTTTTACTTAAATGTGGATTTAGATAATTTTATTATTTTAATTTATTAATTTTTATAATAATTATAATTTAGCGTAACAATTTAAGTTTTAATAATGTATTGAAATATTTTTCACTTTGTATGAGTTTTATTGAATTGATTAATTTTATTATTTTAATTTATTAATTTTTATAATAATTATAATTTAGCGTAACAATTTAAGTTTTAATAATGTATTGAACTATTTTTCACTTTGTGTGTGTGAGTTTTATTAAATTGATTAGGAAGAACTTTTTTAAACTTGAAGAAATGTGAAATTAGATGAAAATTAATTAAACTTGAATGGTTAAATATAGGAGAAATGAGAAAATTGCTTTGTTAATAGAAAATTCATAAATAAAAATGATTTTAATAATTAAAATATATTCATGATAAAAAATGTGTTCTCACGTGAATAAAAATATATATGGGGTCACAAACCACTCAAACTCATTTTCAATGATTTTTTGTAATTATGATTACTATTGTTATGTTTTAACACTGGCTGTAGGAATTTGGAAAAAAAAAATCATGACTACAATGACTGCGATAGAGTCCGTTATGTCCTCCGCAATCTCGATAAAAACGACTGTTAATGCACTTTAAATCCTTGGCCTCTGCTTAATTAGTTTTTACGGTATTGCTTATGAGGTTAAATGTACTTCCATTTTGCTTTCTCTTTTTAATTATTTAAATGACTATGCAGTGTCTTTGAGAGCTCCAAAATGGTATAAACGTCCCGTTGGGGCATCTTTTGGCTTTGGAGGAAAAGTTGTCTCATTTCGCCATCAGATAGGTACTTCTCCATCATCTGAGGTAAATATATCAGCAAGCTTTGTTAAAACGTAACAACAGTAGTAATTGGAATTTGAATGCCAATGATATTCTTCCTTCTCTTTGGGGTCTTATGGTCCTGTATACTTTGTTCAGGTTTTTGTGCACAACATAGCAGCCGAAGAAAATCTGGCTAGTCGTTCATCAGAATTTGAATCTGCAATCCAAAATGGGGAAAGGTCTTTGCTAAGGGCTCTATGTGAAAAGAAATCCGAAGAGTCTGAGTATGTCATACTAAGAAATTATAATTCTTTTTTCTTGTCTTTTTTCAAGTAATTTATTTTACTTCTACCATGATACATTGGGAATTCTGTGCAGATCTCAGCAGGATCAAGATACGTGGGGCTTCTTAAAGGTGATGTTTGAAGATGATGGGACCGCTAGGACGAAGTTGCTCATGCATCTAGGTTTTAGCCCACCTGCAGAAGAAAAAGATACTGTACAAGACGACCTCCCTCAGAATGTAAATGATATTACCCTTGAGGAAAAAGTGGGCCATGAGAAAGAACCTACCCTATTTGCTGCTGATAACGGGGAGGATTTCTTCAACAATCTTCCAAGTCCCAAAGCTGATACACCAGTTGCAACTTCTGATAATAATTTTCATGTTGAGAGCACAGTTCATAGGGCAGATCTAACACCTCAGGAATCATATGGGCCGGAGGAAAGTTCAGATCCATCATTTGATGATGCTGTTCAGCGTGCTTTGGTGGTGGGTGACTATAAGGGAGCAGTTGCACAATGCATTGCAGCCAAGAAGATGGCTGATGCATTAGTTATTGCTCATGTTGCTGGTGCTTCCTTGTGGGAGAGCACACGTGATCAGTTTCTTAAGATGAGTCATTCCCCACACCTGAAGGTGAATTGAACTCTTATATTTGTCTACCCCTAAATGATTAGTTTTCATGGAAAAGGAATTTGAGATAGTAATTATTTCCATGGTTTGCATTTCTCATTGGTTGCAAGATTTACTGATTGGTTTTGTTGAGGGAAATTATGTGTTAATTATGTTCTTTATCTTTAGGTTGTCTCTGCAATGGTGAAAAATGATCTCATGAGTCTTGTCAATGGGAGGCCTTTGAAACTATGGAAAGAAACACTGGCACTCCTCTGTACAGTAAGTTTGATTTTGGAAGTAATTTTAGATTTAGAGTGCTCTAGCAGCAAATAATTTATGGAATTATCATATTTGTTGAGCAGTTTGCCCAAAGAGAGGAATGGACTATATCTTGTGATACGCTTGCTTCCAAACTAATGGCTTCTGGTAATACTCTGGCAGCAACTCTCTGTTATATATGTGCGGGAAATATTGATAAAACAGTGGAGATTTGGGCAAGGTGCCTGACAACTGAACATGATGGGAAATCTTATGTTGATCTTCTCCAGGTAAGTCGGCAATTCGTAGAAACACATTTCAAGCGTAAGCTGTCTGGCCAGAAATCCGACAATAGATGTTTGTTTTCTAGGATTTGATGGAAAAGACCATTCTCCTTGCTTTGGCAACTGGCCAGAAGAGATATAGTGCATCGCTGTGCAAGCTTGTTGAGAAATATGCTGAAATTTTGGCTAGTCAAGGGCTTCTAACGACAGCAATGGAGTACTTGAAACTTTTGAAGTCTGATGAACTGTCACCTGAGCTTGTGATCTTAAAAGATCGTATTGCACTTTCAACAGAACATGGTATGTTCTTAGGACATTTTATGCGGGCTGTAGATTTGTTACATATTGCTTTTTGAATTTGGTAGAAAATGTTCTCAGCTCATGTAATTAGAATTTCTAAACCTGTGATGCTCTGATAACATTTTCTGGTGTCAGTTTCTTGGGTATTTTACAGCTGTTCTTCTCACACAATATTTACAAAGACTAACATGAAATTAGGTTACTTAAGTCTCAGCTATGTTTTCTGCTTCGCAATATGTACTTGTTGAGGATGTACTCTTTTTATTTATTATTTATTTGTTTATTTTACAGAGAAGGAAACTAAATCTATGGTTTTTGATAGCTCTCATCTAGCAAGTGGATCGGTCTTTGAACCTACACCACAGATATATCCGGTGCTTTGTCTTTGAATTTATTTTATTATTGTCTATTGAATGGTCCTTGATAATTGTTGTGATGTTGTGAATGACTACTTTTTGCCTTTTTGTAATTGCATAGGAGTCGGCTACATCACAAATTCAGCCAGGTATTCCAAGTAGTGCTTATGATGAAAATTATCAGCGTTCTTTCTCTCAGTATGGAGGATATGCACCACCTCCCTCATATCAACCTCAACCACTGGCGACTGTAAATACTTTTGTTCCAACCCAAGCTCCTCATGGTTCACAGGTATGCTGGAATGGGTTTCTTTCTGTGCATAGCAGTCTATTTGATGGTAGATTTTAGTGATGGAAATCATAGAATAATATTTTTCTTCTGATTTTACTGTTAATCTGTCATGCTATCTTAAAGCCTAGAACAATTTGGTTCAAGTAATATCTTAATGATGACGGTCTGGTCAGTTTATGACTAGCATGAGACTGCTATAAGTGGGGGTCTTTAGGTTTGCAATTAATCTGTGTTAACTTAGCATTTTTGAACTGTACAAACAGCCTTCTATTGTTGCTAGCCATAAAACCCAGTATTGATGAGAGAAAATTGAACAATCTTTCTAATTTTTCTAGCTTTTTAGTTTCTTATACGCATGATGTTTTCATTTATATATCAGTTTGATGCTTGACTAAATATTTTTTTTTCCTTACAGGCAAATTTCGCACCGTCCCCTGGCACCACTCAGCCTGCTGTTAAACCCTTTGTTCCTACAAATCCTCCTGGTCTAAGAAATGCAGATAAATACCAGCAGCCAACTACCTTGGGTTCCCATTTATATCCTGTCTGTATAGCTGCACAGCTAATTCATGTTCAATGCCATGGTTTTCTTCTATTTCTGGTATACTAAATGATTTTTGCATGCCTTTCAGGGTGGTGCCAACCCTACTTATCCTGCACCCCAGGGAACCGTTTCACCTGCACCTGTCCCATCACAAATTGGATCAGTTCCTCGCCCCCAAATGCCCCAATTCGTAGCTCCCACCCCAACACCTAGGGGATTTATGCCAGTGACTGACACATCCGTTGTTCAAAGGCCTGGGATGACCCCGGTGCAATCCGGCAACCCTACACAGTCGACATCAATACAACCAGCTGCAGCACCTGCTGCACCCCCACCAACTGTGCAGACTGCTGACACTTCAAATGTACCTGGTAAGTGCTAGTTTCTTGGCTTCAAATAATGTTACTATGTCCTACCTGTTTATTGGATTTTGGAGTTTCTAACCGGCCCAATGATATGTCCGACCTTCTTGGATTATTCCAGAATGAGGATTTACTTTCCGAAAATTTGATTAATGTTTTTACATCATCACCGTTTACAAGAATATTTGCAAAACAAAATGCATTGTTTTAAAAATGATGATTATGGAAATCTTACTGTTCTTTATGCCAGTTATTTATCCTTTTTAGTTCCACATGAATGAGGCTGAAGGTATACTGCATCGCATCGTAATGTCCCAAATAAAGATCAATCAAATGTGTGCTTGTTTCCAAAATAATATCTATTGATGCATTTCTGCAAATTAATAGACGAAGAAATATAGATGTTTTGTATATAATAATGTTTGCAATGACTTTACCTTGTTTGGTTTTCAGCCCACCTGAAACCCGTAATCACGACCTTAACTAAACTTTTCAACGAGACCTCTCAAGCACTGGGAGGATTACGTGCAAACCCAGCTAAGAGGCGTGAAATAGAAGACAATTCAAAGAAAATGGGTGCCTTATTTGCCAAGCTCAACGGTGGAGACATTTCAAAAAATGCTTCTGATAAGCTTATTCAGCTCTGCCAGGCATTGGACAACAATGATTTCGGTACAGCACTACAAATCCAGGTACGGTTGGGGAAGAGCGTTGAATATAATAATGTTTTGCCTTGAACTCATGATGCAACGTTATTTTACCTGTGTTTCTGGAACAGGTTCTTCTCACTACGAACGAGTGGGATGAATGCAACTTTTGGCTTGCAACCCTGAAACGGATGATTAAGACTAGGCAGAACGTAAGGTAAGTCAAGAATCGAAAAGGCCTCCGAGAATGTTGTCATTTTTGCTCGAATACTTTTGGGGCAATGGTAGTGATAGATAAACAAACTGCAGGATACACACACACTCATATATTGGTTTTTTTCTGCTCTCATTACATAAACCTGATAGTGATAGATAATTGACTTTCGCCGTTTCACATTAATACTCCTTTTGAAAGCAAAGCAGGTTATTGGAAATACATTTCAGGACTTTATGTTTGATTGTTTTCCCTCCAGAAAGTAGACTTGGCATTCTATATTAGTAATTAGGAAAAAGTACCAGTTTAATCTATATAACAAATTAATTATTAATTTTTTCGGTTTTTATAAAATGTAATTTTCAAATTATGAAAATTGAAAGTGAACACAGAAACTTCTCAAATTTTATATAAAGAAGAGAATTATTCTCTTCAGTTGATCTAAAATTTAATTTAAAATATAAAATTTTGACTCGTGCTTGATACTTAATAGAAGCAAGGGTATGTTTGTTACATTGAAAAAAAAAACGTTTTATAATGTTTGGAGTGAAACAAACGTTTTACAGTGTTTGGGAGAAGTATTCGTTAATTGATAATTTTTTAAAAATTATTTATAATAAATATCAAATATAATAAAAGATGTTTAATATAAAAATTTAATATTATTATTTTTAAAATATTATAATAATTTATTGAATATTATTTATGTTAACATTTTATTAAAATATTATTTCTAAAAATTTATAAACAAAAATATTAAAATTAGTATATTTTATTGAAATAAAAATGTTATACTATGTTTTTTAAATTATTAATAAACATATTTTCGGTATTTTTATTAAAATATTATTAGATAAACATATTAATATTAAATACGTAAATAATATTATTCATTGGTAATATTAAATAACATTTCTTTTATGAAAGTAGTTGTCGCAACCGTCTTTCGGTTGAGCCCCGGAATTGGGCTTCGACTTGAAAAATGTGGATTGGAGTCGCCACCGACCATGTTAAAACGAATTTAGGTGGGTCGGACACCATCTTACCTGATCTGCGCTTTTCCAGAAATTTGTCGGGTTCGGGAGTCGGTTACGGTCAAGGAAGGATTAGCACCCCTGAACCGCCCTTTCGGTACCAATTAATTTTTAGGTTGTCGTTAAATGCGAAAATTAGAAAATTTAAATTGAAATTAAAGAACTCGATTCGAATTGCTCACCTTTGATCGATTGAGATTATTACTGACAAAGACAAAAGAATATTAGATAGAAAAACAAATCAATAAAAATAAAAAAATGAAGAAAAATTAAATAAACGAAAAAAAAAATTATTTTAAAGGTAATAAAATGGAAACGATACGAAGTGAAAATAGATAATGATAATTAAAAAACATGATGGTAATAAAATAAAATAAGAATTCAGGGGTCAAATTGCAAAAAAAATGTAACATATAAATGGGGACCGAATTGAGTCAATTGAAAAATCAGTGGCCAAATTGCATACGGTGACTGAAACGAATTGCGCTTCAAACCTTGGGGGACGGCGGAAAGAATTAAAGAATCTTATATTTGCATAATGGTCCCTGCTATATATATATACAAACCAGCTGAATTTCATTTCATTTCCTTCATTCTCTACCCAAAGAGAGAACCATCTGTTCTCTCAACTCTCTCTAACCCGGCCAAGGTTCGGCCGCCACCGCCGATGGTCAACCGCCGCTCCGGCCGCCGCCTCTGGCTGCCGGAAAAGATAAAATGCTCCTCACACGTTCCTCTCAAACCCGTGAACCCAGAACCGACCTCTAAATCCCCGAAACAAGCCCCAGTAAACGTAGATCTAAAAAAACACTTTCGGCTTTTTACCCTCTCCGGTGACCGCTCGCTTCTCCGACGACGCTCCGGGTGGCTTTCGGTATCCTTCCACGCAACAAAGTTTTGGCCTTTGTTATTTTTACCTTAGGATTCGAAAGTCTCCGCCCTTTTGGGTTTTTTTGTACTGTGTTTGGCTTCTGACTTTGTTGTTTCGTGATTTACTTTCTTGTGATAATGACTCTCTGGTTTACTATTGGCCGTTTGTGGGTCTGTGGTAGCTTGGTAATGGTTGATTGTTGTTTTTTCTGATCTGTTGAGATGGGTTTCTCTTTCGTTGGTTCTGTCTCTTGTTGTGTGGCTCGATTTTACTGTGTGTTCTGTTCTACTGTTGAAGTGGTTCGTCCTCCCCCTGTGTACTCTTGGCCATGGGTTTTTATAACCCCCCACCGGTCATTGGTCTGTTCCGAAATACGGGGCTCTCGTGGCCGTTGAGGCCGGACACCCCGGGATGGGTCAGTCCCGGGAATCTCGGCCGGAAAATCTGACCGTTTGGGTGACGTGCTTGACTCCCTGAATCCCTTGTGCGGCGCCTGTTGACATGCGTGCCTAGGGTTCTCAGACCATACCTTTGCTGGGCTGGTTCAGGCCCGTTCTGACTTATTTGGACCTCGTTTTGGACCTGAAACAAAACCAAAACAAGTTAAAAAATGAAAAAATAATAATAATAATAATAATAATAATAAATAATAATAATATATATATACATAAATATTTTCAAAAACATATAATATATAAATTTTCAAAAATGTTTTTTTTCTTAAACTATATAATATACGAATGTTTTCAACATGTTTTCAAAAATATTATATAAGTTTTCAAAAACGTTTTAAAAACTATATAATATATAAATGTTTTCAAAATGTTTTCAAAACTATAATATATGTGTTTTCAAAAATGTTTTCAAAAATTATATATATAATTTTTCAAAATGATTTTAAAAATTATATATTATATATATTTTTTAAAACGTTTTTTTTTTTAAACTATACATTATATAGTTTTAAAAACTATTAAAAACAATATATTATGTATGTAGTTTTAAAATATGTATATATATATATAAATATGTATGTATGTACATATAAAGGAAAAAAAATATGTCGATGAAAATTAGTGTCTACAGCTGCCCCTCTTTGTCCTTTTTCGTGGAACGAAAAATAGGACAAAGATAAAAAGACACAAATTTTCGTTCTGCGGAGTTGAAAAATAACTCCCTGTCGTCTTGGGTTGCGGATGGCTCCTCCGTCGCGAAGTCGAGTCCATCTCGAAATGATATAGAATTGAAGCCGCCGTTCGGGATTTGAATCGGGATGTGGCTTCTTGTTGTAGTCCGCCTCGATCTTTTCTCGGTTTAAAGATCTGGGTTGGAAAATTCGACTTGAAAGTAGTTTCTTGACTCCACCCTGTGGTTGATAAGCCCTCGAGCTGAATAAAATCGAACCTCGAAGGTCTTCGTTGACAAATAGCTTTTCTCGTCTTAAGCTATACTGCCGGAGAAACGGTTGATTGTCACTAAGTCACGGCTGACCCATGTCTTCTTCTCGATTTGAAAACCTTAATTGCAGCCGAACAGTAGTGATTGAGGTATCGTCGAGCTGAATAGAGTCGAACTCGACAATTTTATTGACAAATAACCTTTCTTGCCATGATAAATGATATGACTTCGAAGTTGAGTGTAATCGAACTCGGGAGTCTTTGGCAGATAGCCCTTCTTGACTTAAGCTATTCTGCAAATGATGTGCCTTGGAGCTGAGCGTAGTCGAACTCAAAGGTCTTTGCTAACAGATAACCCTTCTAGCCTTGAGTTATGCTGTAAATGTTATGCCCTTGAAGCTGAGTGTAATCGAACTTGGGGGTCTTTGGCAGATAGCCCTTCTCGACCTAAGCTATTCTGCAAATGATGTGCCTTGGAGCTGAGCGTAGTCGAACTCGAAGGTCTTGGTGGTCACAGATAACCCTTCTAGCCTTGAGTTATGCTGTAAATGATGTGCCCTCGAAGCTGAGTGTAATCGAACTCGGGGGTCTTTGGCAGATAGCCCTTCTCGACTTAAGCTATTCTGCTAATGATATGCCTTGGAGCTGAGCGTAGTCGAACTCGAAGGTCTTGGTGGTCACAGATAACCCTTCTAGCCTTGAGTTATGCTGTAAATGATGTGCCCTCGAAGCTGAGTGTAATCGAACTCGGGGGTCTTTGGCAGATAGCCCTTCTCGACTTAAGCTATTCTGCCAATGATATGCCTTGGAGCTGAGCGTAGTCGAACTCGAAGGTCTTGGTGGTCACAGATAACCCTTCTAGCCTTGAGTTATGCTGTAAATGATGTGCCCTCGAAGCTGAGTGTAATCGAACTCGGGGGTCTTTGGCAGATAGCCCTTCTCGACTTAAGCTATTCTGCAAATGATGTGCCTTGGAGCTGAGCGTAGTCGAACTCGAAGGTCTTGGTGGCAGATAGCCCTTCTGGCCTTGAGCTAAGCTGCAAATAGTTTGTTAAAAATGACTTCCCTTTACGGGTCGAAAAACGGTCATGATTCTTCCGGTGGTTCCCCTAAGCTGGTCTGGGAAAACCTACTGATAAATTCTGACAGCCGGATATCTTCCGTCGTGGAATTGAAATCTGGCTTGAAAGTGTTAACTGAAAACATGTTGCTCCTGGTGAATTTGAACCGAACTAGATTTGATCTGAATTGGTTCTCGAACCCATCTGAGATCTGTAGTTATGTAAAGTCGCTTGAGGTGTAGCTTCTTGCTGCTGAGTTACACCCTCGTCCTTTAAAGGTGCTTGCAAGTCGAGTAACCTTCATCCTGAAGTCGAAGCTTGACTCTGACAGCTGCAAAATTTTGTATGCTAAAATGATGAATGTGATGCCCCTAAGTATGTCTAAGATGCATGCAACATGAATAAATTATGTGTTATTTCTTGGATGGAGTCTCGTGCTTTGCCTGCCAATCTGGTCCATGGAATCGATCGTGCCCCATTTGCTTCTCGAGCTTGGGCTTTACAGACATTTCATATCTGAGATTGTTCTGTTTGAAAACGTTTTTCTCCTTTTTCTTGTTTCAGGAGAGAGAAATGTAAAGTATTGTTCGCAATTGAATCAAATTGTAAATGTGAGTTCAAAAAATATCAAAGGAATCAAGAGCTCTTTTAATGCTTTCAGAGTTACAAATCTTTGACAAATGTTCAAAGGGACAAGTCGGCTTTAGGTTGGCCTCCTTTCTAAGGTTTTTTGGTAAAAATGTCATTTTTTAAATATCGCCACATGCTGTGGCACTTTAATTGGGTGCGGACAAAATGACGCAACTAGCATGATCAATTACTAGACCTTTTATCTCAGTCCTCTGAAATTTTTCATTTGTTCAAGCTTTGTAAGCTCT